GTTGGATATACGACTGGAAGAGATTAACACATCTGAGATAAATCCTTCGTAAAACGTAAAATTTCCCTCCCGTATAACAGAAAAAAATCCAAAAAACTGAATATCAGAAAATACAACGGATGAATAACAAGAAGTGCTTTATCATTATATGACTGAATAATAAGATACAATTTAAATTTTAACCTCACTGAATCGTGTCATTTGCTATAAGGTTTTAAATAAAATCAACGGAAATTGCAGAATTCTGACCATAAAAGCGAGATGTTACGTGAGCTTTTGTTACTTCATTATGAAGGGTCTTTTCATCGTGAATGCAATTGTTCAACTCGCAATTATCAGTCGCTTTTTGGGCATTCAAAACGGTTCGTTTCCTTGTTAAGGCTGACCAAAAAAAGGATTTTAGCTGGAGAAATGTCATCGATTGATACTTGAATTCGGTGGAAATCAAATAAGCAATGCATGCATGCTGTTCATTTCAGCAACTTTATCCGATTTTGCAGCAACGAACATGAAATACTTTCAGCTGACTCGATGTTTTGGGGTATGGTCCTTGTGATAAATCTTTTCAAGGGTAACGACTGGTCAAGGACTGGTATATTCCCACGTGTCACTATGTGTGATTTTGAGGTATTTGCTTTAAGCTCTTTTTTTATGGTTTTTTTCACGTTCATTACCTCCTACTTTTATTTTGCACCATTTGTCATATATTATTATTGTTTATATTCTACCACGTTTGAAATGATCAAGATATTCAAAGGTCCGCAAAAAAAACATTTCAGTGAGAAAATGCATTATTTTGAAAAATTTTTGCAAAATTATCATTTGTTTTGCTCCAATTGCTAATATTTGCAAATACAAGCATTCAAATGAATGATGCCGATAACATCGACATAACCACCCCATAAATACCCTTTCAACTCTTCTATACAGCACCTTAGGTATGCTTGATTGATTGTAAAGGAGACAGATAGGCTGTTGAACTGAAAACTGATAGATCTTTGTAAAATCGTGAAATAATGACATACCTAAAGGTGCGTGAACTGGGTAATATTCATCGTTGGTCGGTGCAGTGCGTACTTCCACTGAATATGTTCTCGGAAAAGCTTTATATTATTCTGTGGTTTTGGCTTCACATTGTTCTGGTGGTGACGTTCGTCAACTTGACCATATGGATGTTCCAAATTCTGCGTGACCAAAGTCGCATGGACTTCATCAAGGAAATGCTTGATAATGCACAGGTGAATGGCAAATTATGACAGTTTCACAAGCGAGCGTGTACACTGACGGGACAAGAGAGTTGTTACGGAGTTTTTTTTCGGTCATACACATACCTGGAAATCTTTCGAAACGTCAAACAACTCGAAAGAGTCTGATTTTGATTTTAGCAAATCAATCGTTAGCAGAGAA